ATAATTACATTTATATACTTTATGTACATTTTCTATCTTCTGTGGTTTTGTGTTGCATCAAATTTTATGTCAACTATGTGCTTTAGGAACAACATAAATCTAGTCCTCTAGAGTAATAACACAATAAGATAATCTAAAGCCCCATTATGACCTTCTTACAGCCTTCGATTTGTTCGTACGCCATTAAAAAAAGGTCTTCTATTGCTTACTGGGCACGATACTGAAGAGTCTGTGAATGATACTGAAAAGTCTGTAAAAGATACTAAATGTCTGTGAACGATATTGAAGAGTCTGTGAACGATATTGAAGAATATGTGAACGATACTGAAGAGCCTGTGAAGGATATTGAAGAGTCTGTGAACGATATTGAAGAGCCTTGAACGATATTGAAGAGCCTGTGAACGATATTGAAGAGTCTGTGAACGATACTGAAGAGTCTGTAAAAGATACTGAAGAGTCTGTGAACGATATTGAAGAGTTTGTGAACGATATTGAATTGTATGTGAACGATTCTGAAGAGTCTGTGAACGATATTGAAGAGTCTGTGAACGATATTGAAAAGTCTGTGAACGATACTGAAGAGTCTGTGAACGATACTGAAGAGTCTGTGAACGATATTGAAGAGTCTGTGAACGATACTGAAGAGTCTGTGAACGATACTGAAGAGTCTGTGAACGATACTGAAGAGTCTGTGAACGCTACTGAAGAGTCTGTGAAAACCCCGAGGTTTTCTAACTCAAAAGTTTACTTTTCAGATCTTCTTTCTCTTCGCGTTCACCAGCTGTAAACTCCGATGGAAAGTTCTGGTTGTTCGTCCACTTCTGGACTGCAGTCTTGTTCTAGGACCTGAGTTTTGCGTGTGCATCCGTTTGATAGAGCTGACTAATCTGCAGACTGTTGGTTCCTTGCCTCTCAGGCAGATGCACTCCGACTTCGAAGAAAGCTTCCAATTAGTCGACTCTTACGACATGCTTATGGGTTGGCAGTGGGTCTATTCTTGTTTCCCTCAAATAGGGCCTGGAACCCACAGGGGGACCTGTCAGATCTGAGAACTGTTTATCTTCACGAAAACATTTTGCAATCATTCATTTCCCCCTCTCTCACTCTCTATAACTCACTTTGTGCCTTCCACACTCACTCACACACATCCTCCCCTGCACACTTGTATACGTAATGTTACCTCCAGCATGGTTTCCCACTTGACTAACGCCCTAGATTGTTGTTCTGGGCGTTAGCTTTCTGTACTCTATATATAAATATATATGTTCTTTACCTTAGTCATTCGTTTATAGTGAGCTATATTTGTCAATAGTATGATTGTCTCTCTTTCTGTCTGTCTGACGGTCGATCGGTTGGTCCGTCTGTCTGCCTGTCTGTTTGCCTACATGTCTGCATATTTGTCTACTTGTCTGATTGCTTATCCGCCTGCATGTCTGTCTGTCTGTTTGCCTACCTGTCTGTTTGCAAATCCACTAGTCTGACTGTCTTCCTCGACACAAACGCATATAAAACACATATAACATTCCCCTCACTACTACTTGTACCTGATTCAATCTCAAACAGAACACACCCAGTCTAACAAATCTCTCTCAAGCTAAGTGCTCGCCTCACGCCATCTCAAACATGCTGTTAATTTCCGGTGTAAGCCGACAACAGACACCGATTCTGAATGCCACCATAATGCGCCCTTCTACCCAGCATTTGAGATGTGCCAAGTGAGTGAGAGGTGAGAAAACAACAACAGTGAATCACACAATGATGTCTTCGCCAGAGATGTTGATCGCATTTAGACTGTACACGAATTTCAGTTGTTATGAGGTGGTTCGGGTTAGATAAATATGAAATTTAGGAATTAAAGAGTAATAATGCAGAGTTCCAATACTGATGGTACCGGTCACAATCTGGTTATATAACCGTCTTGTCTTTCCTCTGAGTATAGTGATGTACAACATAATTTACAACATAAATATATGAAATAAACCATATGTTACAACATACATGATTGGACTGGTTGTAGATCGCTGTTAAACGTCGCAAAGCGTGTGTATGTGATTAATAGTCTCAGCGATTTGGCTGGCATACCAGCTGTATACTTTTACTATGACCCATGTAGCGGTACTGTGGATTCTTTAAGCCATCTCAAATCGATAGCGGTACTGTCCGTATCGTTATCATGATCATCCTGTGTGCCGCAATACGTCCCATAGAGCTCACAGTCTTAGTCTCCAGTCTGTTCTTTTCCATGTAGTCCTTTCTTTATCAACATATTGTCATTAATCTTTCCCTTGTTCATTTGATACGATTTGGAAAGAAAAGCGAAATAAGTATTTCTGACTATAACAATATAAACCAGACTCTATAATGATGTACCTTCCTCATCACCATTCTCACCGTTATTAGAGCATCACTGTGAAGCCTGAGGAGAATGTTGGGTGAAAGTGGTTCATCATCGTTTAAGATTGACAGAGTTTCATGTCAGGTCAGAGTCTTGAACCTCCACCATAATAACAGAGAGAGAGAGGGGAAATAATGCCGATTCAATTACAAGCTTTGTTAACGAGGCTATAGCTCTTTCTGGTGACTGAAACTCGTTGGTACTTTTCCGTCTTTGCAGGCAATAGAGCACAATAGTGCTAGGAGGAGGTGTGGGAGTCACAGCCCATGGCGACGGCGAGTGTGACTAACAAGACTCGCCCGTTAAGTCTTCCACAATTAGATCATGGGGTTTCAGTAACGTGGCTAGAACAATGCATCAAGTCTTCTACAATGAGAGCATGGATTTTCAGTACCGTGGCTGAAACAATGTATCCATTAAAATATGAATAGCCCGTAGGTGGTTGCAACACCTATTGCAATGCAAAATGCATTCTATTCTCGCAGCAGCAGAACTTCCCAGAAGTTGACTCATGAGTCTACTACCTTCAGACTCACAGTGAACGGCTTGGGAACGTTTGTTAAACCAAGATCTCCCTGCAGACTTGGCTCTTGTGTTTGGTTGTTGACCACCGATGCAGCAAACTTGAACCTCGACAACAGACCGACAGCAACGAAGAGAAGCTCTTTCTTGGCCACGCTTGCTCCAATGCACATGCGGGAACCTACATAGATGAAAGCATGAGTTATACACACCATCAGTCAGAGGGGAAATATGCGGGAACCTACAGCGATGAAAGCATGATTTATACACAACTTAAGTCAGAGGGGAACAGACACACACACAAAATGACACACGATAGGCACACATTAAAATTATAGCAATGAATGCATTGATTTATTATCTTGAAAACAAATTAGAGACAAGGGTCTCTAGTTAATTTTATCAATAAAAATGTAATCAATAATAGCTACAAACTGTATTTAGCATCTTTAGAGACGATTCAGACAGAAGACAGACAGACACACAGGTTATTCAATATATAGACAGACAGATAAACGGGGAATATATGTAGGTAGGTAGCTAGGTAGATACATTAGACATGCAGGCAGACCGACCGACAAATAAAAAGATAGACGGACGGACGGACAGGCAGGCAGGCAGACAGACAGACAGACAGACAGACAGACAGACAGACAGACAGACAGACAGACAGACAGACAGACAGACAGACAGACAGACAGACAGACAGACAGACAGACAGACAGACAGACAGACAGACAGACAGACAGACAGACAGACAGACCAGACAGACAGACAGACAGACCAGACAGACAGACCAGACAGACAGACCAGACAGACAGACAGACCAGACAGACAGACAGACAGACCAGACAGACAGACCAGACAGACAGACCAGACAGACAGACCAGACAGACAGACCAGACAGACAGACCAGACAGACAGACCAGACAGACAGACCAGACAGACAGACCAGACAGACAGACCAGACAGACAGACCAGACAGACAGACCAGACAGACAGACCAGACAGACAGACCAGACAGACAGACCAGACAGACAGACCAGACAGACAGACCAGACAGACAGACCAGACAGACAGACCAGACAGACAGACCAGACAGACAGACAGACCAGACAGACAGACCAGACAGATAGACAGACCAGACAGACAGACAGACAGACAGACAGACAGACAGACAGACAGACAGACAGACAGACAGACAGACAGACAGACAGACAGACAGACAGACAGACAGACAGACAGACAGACAGACAGACAGACAGACAGACAGACAGACAGACAGACAGACAGACAGACAGACAGACAGACAGACCAGACAGACAGACCAGACCAGACCAGACAGACCAGACAGACAGACAGACCAGACAGACAGACCAGACAGTCAGACCAGACAGTCAGACCAGACAGAGACAGACAGACAGACCAGACAGTCAGACCAGACAGTCAGACCAGACAGTCAGACCAGACAGTCAGACCAGACAGAGACAGACCAGACAGACAGACCAGACAGACAGACCAGACAGACAGACCAGACAGACAGACCAGACAGACAGACCAGACAGACAGACCAGACAGACAGACCAGACAGACAGACCAGACAGACAGACCAGACAGACAGACCAGACAGACAGACCAGACAGACAGACCAGACAGACAGACCAGACAGACAGACCAGACAGACCAGACAGACAGACAGACCAGACAGACAGACAGACAGACCAGACAGACAGACCAGACAGACCAGACAGACAGACAGACAGACAGACAGACAGACAGACAGACAGACAGACAGACAGACAGACAGACAGACAGACAGACAGACAGACAGACAGACAGACAGACAGACAGACAGACGGACAGACAGACGGACGGACGGACGGACAGACAGACAGACGGACAGACAGACGGACAGACAGACGGACGGACGGACGGACAGACAGACAGACAGACAGACAGACAGACAGACAGACAGACAGACAGACAGACAGACAGACAGACAGACAGACAGACAGACAGACAGACAGACAGACAGACAGACAGACAGACAGACAGATGCGAATAATTAGTTTACTATAATCACCTGTGGCATAAGGCATAAACCACTTAGGTTGTACAAGTCTGCCTTCCTCACTGATGAACCTGTCTGGTCGAAAGTCTTCAGGATTCTCCCCAACGTGTGGGCCCATCATAAGAGAGTCCAAGTTGGTCATAATGATTGTGTCCTTAGGAATGTCGTAGCCTCGGATTGTCGTGTCGTGGTCACAGCAGTGAACTGGCGGAAATGGACCTGCAGATGTTTCAACTTTGTTAGTAACAGTTAAAAAAAACCTGGATGTGTATATATATATATATATATATATATATATATATATATATATATATATATATATATATATATATATATATATATATATATATATATATATAAAATAGTATGACTAGAACGTCTTCGCAATAATCTGGTAATCTGGTAATCTGGTAATCCTAGTTTCAGCTTCATAGCAAACGGGTCACCCCATAGTTGCTCCGCTCCTGTGCCAACGAAAAACACACGTAGCTCACAGTGTCACGCCATGCACTCAACTCAGAAGCTGGGCGACGAAACTTAGCAAAAGAACGCACATTGTGAAATAAAGAAAGAAAGACCAACCCGCCACATTCACCAACCAACCCATGCACGCAAACACGTACACACACACACACACACACACACACTCACACAGATGTGGATGTGAGACATGGCTAAATAAGATGGACTGCATGAGACGTCGAAGGATAAGAATCGCTGGAGCTCGTCAACATTTTCACGTTAATTCGTCAAGTGACTAATATATGCATATTAAATAACTACCTCCCATCTACATATTAAAATAGTTTATTCAAAACATCTACAGACTATTGTGTCAACCTCAAAACATTCGCGAGACATTTTGTCAACTCGCCAACATTCGTCAATTAATTTGTCAACTCACCAAAATTAATGCGTAAGTTTGACAACTCTCTAACAACATCCCAGTATTATTCCCAAACAGTCACATATTAATCTAAGCAACCACATTATGTCAGATAACAGTTTGCCAACTTACCAACATTGGCAAGCCGCTGAACTTCCATGATGGTTGCCTGTGTGTAAACAAGATCAGACCTACTGATATCGATGATTCGACCCCCACACATGGACATGGCTTGAGCAATTTCTTTCCTACACCTTTCCTGAACCTCCGGGTGGTGGATGAGATAAATAACTAGCCACTGGAGAGTGTTGGACACAGTGTCAAATCCCCCTGCCATCAGATCTCCTGCTGTTTTCACGAGATGCTCCTCTGTTAAAGCAACACATAAATATGTAGTTGGACCCTTGGTATTGAGAAAATTGAGAGTATAACTATAATTTTTTTTTTTACATTGGAACCCACTGAAGCTCACAAATAATGCAGATCATTTCCATATGGGTTTCTGAGTCCTATTTTGTTGAAGAAAGAATAGAGCCACTGCCCCTTAAAAAAGAATGTTCCAGAAGGCGACTAATTAAGAGTGCTTCATTTCACCTCCGACGGTCTGAAGCTATGGACTTCATAGTTGCATGCCTAGGGCCTGTCCAGTGAGTCAGCTCTCTATCCAGGTCTTGTATGGCCTGTCTCTTCTCCTCTTACTCTCTAAGGACTTTATAATGGACCCAGTGTTTCGACTCAGACCTGTCTAGAGGCATATTCTGTCTCTAAGTCTTTCCGAGTCCGCCTCTCCTCTTTCCCTCTACAGTAAAGTAAAGGACCTTTTTCCACGCTATTATGTGTGCTGGGCGTATAGGGCTAGACCTATATTGTATAGACCCTTCGGCACTCGGTGGGTGATGTGGTCAACATCCCACTTGCCGCCTTTACTTCCCAGGACTTTACCTGGTACCCATTTTAGACAGGGTCAACCTCAGAGCCAAAGTCATTTTGGGGGGAAAAAAAACTGGCTCGGTGTGGATTTTAACCTACTTCCTGCTGCGCCATGCGAGCGTCTAGCCAATACACCACTGCGGCTTCCCCTCTACAGACCCTGTGGACGTTATGTCTTGGCAATTTCCCAGCTTGTTCGAGAATGTTTTATGTGTGGAAGCTGAAACGGTTAGGGGATAATGTGTCGTACTTGTGTCCAATCTTTCTACGTCTTTCTGTGAGTACCTGTAGAAACATTACATGTGTGTGTGTGTGTGTGTGTGTGTGTGTGTGTGTGTGTGTGTGTGTGTGTGTATATATATATATATATATATATATATATATATATATATATATATATATATATATATATATATATATATATATACATAATGTTTCTACAGACTCAATGGCTCCCCGTCTGTTTATTTCTGTGTAAAATATTCAAGACAGCTTTTTCCAAAATGACTTGACCACAGTGTATTTCAAAGTACTTTTCAACATAATTCTATTATAAATTATGTATGAATTTAAAATCAGAGTTTACAATCATACAAATGAAATAAATAGGAGAAACAAATATAACATTTGAGCTGTTGATAGTTACAAAATGGTAATGGAGAAAACTAAACTGTCCAAACCACACACAAAAAAAGAAGCAAAGAATCAACATCCACTTAGAGGAAGCGGCAACGATTTTGACAACCCAATGATTATCAGAGAAACATGTGATGTACATCCTCCAACTTTACCATTTTTATTTGGCGGAAACGTAGTTAGATGTTTGTTGCGAATTTCATTTAAACGTAGGATGTGCAAAATGTTTCTTGAGAAACGCCAAATAATTTTAATTTGTACCAGCCCTCCAAAAATGATCTCATTAGTTTCAAAAGTTTCGAAATCAGGTTTTTCGTTTCGTTAACGGAAAAAATATCTGGAACCAGTGCAAGTTCAGCCCTTTTGCGAAACTAGACTTGTGTAGAAAACTATAGCATCATCACGTGCCTTTACAGGTGGCAAATCTTTCAGGTAAATGCTCATACAAGTATGGGTTCTGAGCTCCAATAGGGGCGGGGAAGGGTAGGTTAGATCCACTGCCTTCTGAACACATAAGAGGCAACTAATTAGGGAATTTGCTGAAATCTGATGTGTTGGGTGGAACGGTCGGCGTCTGTGGCCTGGCGTTGCGAACATGTTTCTTAGTGCCGGGGTGCCGCGTTCGATCCCAGCTCCAGACCTTGCGTTGGTTTTGACAGTGGTATCGAGAAGCCGACGGTTCAAAAAGCAATGGCAAACTCCTGGATGTAAACTTACCTAGAAAAACCACAAAAGTCGAACAATTCTAGGGTTGATTCTGCAACGTCCTGTAAAGGATACGCAACTAAAACTGTCGAAAGGCGTAAATGCCTAGTAATAACAACGTTGCAACCGCCTTTCTAAAACCAAATGAAGAAGAAGAAGAAAAATAACGGCTGTCTTAAGTGTCTCAAAAAGACAGACTCCGTAGTTCCAGCGACAATCCAGGAAATCGCCTTTTGGGACTAAAATTTTAATCGAACTACGCAGTTGTGGTCCGTGACAGGAACTTCAGAACACATGGCTAAGGATCTAAACATGAACAATGACGCAGTTGTGGTCCGTGACAGGAACTTCAGAATACATGGCAAAGGATCTAAACATGAACAATGAAGATGAAAAACATTAACTGTGATTTACCATTCATTTCTGTGTGGATATTGTGGTTCTTCTTCCTCTCCATATCTTCTATGTAGCCACCCACAAGGCTACAAGATGGCGTATGTCCTTCACTGAAGTTCTGTTGGTCATTCAAGACATTATCGTTGCTGTCTGCGCAACGTAGCTGGAAAACAATCAATTTTAACAGGGATAAAATATGTCGATCTAATATTTCAAGTTATGTATTGAAAATACAGAGGAACGAAACTCCGACTCAACAAGAGCATCATTTTGCCAGTTCTTTTTTATGGAGCGAAATGCTGGAGAATGACCAAAAAGGATGCACACAAGCTGTCTACCTTCCACCACACATGTCTACGTAGAATTATCAAATTTTTTTTGGCCAGATACAAACTCAAACACTAAACTACTTCAAGTCACAAACCAAGAAACTTTAGACAATATGATAACCAAGAGATGATGGAAATGGCTTGGCCACGTTATGAGTTATGAGAATGAATCCTGATATACCTGCAAAAACAGCTCTCACATGGACACAAGAGGGAAAGAGAAAACAGGGGCGCCCAAAAACAACGTGGAGAAGAACGATGGAAAGTGACTTGAGTGCGGCATCTTTGACATGGAAAACTGCACTGAAGATTGCACAGGACAGGAAAGCATGGACAGTCCTCTCTGAAGCCTCATGTACCACTAGGCACAACGAGAATTGATTGATGATGATTGAAAATGTAGCGTGAATTATCTTGTTTCCAGACATAGAGATTATTTCCTAGCACATTGGCATCGTCGGCGTCTGTGGCGCGTTGCGAACGAGCTTCGTAATACCAGGATGCCGAGTTGGATCCCAGCTGCGGGCTTTGCGCCTTGCGTTGGTTACGACAGTGGTATCGAGAAGCCGACCGTCCAGTAAACAAACTACTGGACCTAAATTTGCCTAGAAAGACCACAGCAAAAAATGCTGGAGTTGGTTCTGCTACGTCCTGTTAAGAATACTTAACTTTTAACAGTGACATCTCATGGTACGAATCTAATCACTTCCATGGCTCCATTGCATGGCGGAGTTTGAATCGTGAAATTATTTTTCCAATTAAAATTAGTGTAAATAATTTTAATTTGTACCAGCCGCCCAAAAATCATCTCATTAGTTTCAAAGTGTCAGAATCAGGTTTTTCGTTTCGTTAAGGAGAACATTCTCTGGAACGGGTTTTTTTTTTTTCGGCATCGGAATTTTTTTTTTTTTTTTTACTTTTGACCATATTGCTACAGTCCATTATCATCAAGTGCCTTTTCGAATGGCTTAAGATCTCCTTCGGCAATATTAACGTGACCTAATCAAATTAAAAAATATATATATACTGATCAAGTGGTGTCAAGTAACAGTTCTCGTCTCTCCAGCTCGCATCTTGGGTTTCTCCTCGTATTCAAAGTCCCCAAAAAAAAAACTTTCAAACGTGACCTCGAATACTGGAAAACTCGTATCAGGGTACAATGGTATTATGAGGTTCGTTTACTTTACTTAGTCACTCCTCTTTTACCTTGGGGTGTAGAGATTTGCCAAAGTCATCGGTAAACTTCTCTATCAGTAGTTTTTCATTCTGGCTTTGTTCCATACCAGTCCTCTGACAGTCCGGGACTGACGGATATTGCCTTTCCAGCAAGAGTCCTGGTGGCTCTGGTGGTTTGTTCTCTGGTTCTTAACCTCCACTGCCTGCCATGGTGGCCGATTCTATCCCATTCTACATACATGTCCAAACCATCGTAAGTGTGACTGATCCACTCGAGTCTGTAAGGCCAGGGTTACAAGATCACGACGTACCGTCTGGTTGCTACCTTTGTTCCTTCTTGTCACTTGCAGCAACTTTCTCAGATATCTCATTTCTTGTCATGAGGTTTCCCCTGTAATTTACCTTTATACTTCTTTCATCTACAACAGTGGTTCCTAGTGAGCTATCACCTTCAGACTTCTCTTATTGTCATAAGGCTGCCACAGACACCAAAGAAAATAAGAGCATTTGATCTGAAATGCTAAAAAAAATTCTTAGAATACCGTGGACTAAGAAGTAGAAAAACGTCAAGACCCTGCATGATTTGAACATCAAGGAGAACGGGCTCATAAACAGCATCCTCTCCCGAATGCTCAGATATTTAGGACATGTCAAGTGATATGGTGGTATGGAGAGAACAGTTGTGGGTGAGCGGGGATGGGGTGTGCAGTTTCCAGAAAACAAAGCAGAGGCCAACCTCCATGATGGTGATCACAGGACATTGAAGATGCATTAGCTATGAGAGCACCAAAGAGCTGGAGAACTGGCTCAGAAAGAGAGAATTTCATTCATGCTGTGAGGAGAGCGACGTTATATAAAGGACGTGCTTATTGTTTTGATTGCCACGGGCCCCATAGTGTTTAAAAATTATTCAAAAAAAAAATAATAATAATAATAAAAAACAACAACTTTTATCAAGTGCCAAGTGACTGTTCTGGGGCCATCACACCTCTCTACAATCTGTGATATTTAACAGCATGTATCAGTTCGCGTGGTAATACCTCTACATGCCATGATAACAGGCTGTCAATAGTCGTATCAGGATGTCTACCTCTGTTTATTTTTTCTTCCCAGATTTTTTTTTAGAGGCCACAACATGTTTCCAGTTTCATTCTTATCATAACATGAACGAATAATGATGAATGTCTATTTCTGATGTTTTTGATTTGTTGTGTTCGTCTTTATTTACCTGAACAATGCGTCGAATCTCCGGCTTGATGAGATCGTCCTCGATGATTCTAACAACTTCCAAACACCTGTGGTAACAAATCGGGTCGCCAGGTAACAGGCGAGCAGAAGGGATAAAGTTGACCACTGCTAAGCTTCCTAGATACCTGCGGAATAGAAAGAACACCAAATCAAACAATATTAATTTTCTTCGAACCCCCCCCCCCCCTCCCCCGCCCATCCTTCTTTTTTTCCAGGATTACAGCACGGATTCTCAACCTTCCTAATGCCGTGACCCTTTAATACAGTTCCTCATGCTGTGGCGACCCTTTAATACAGTTCCTCATGCTGTGGCGACCCTTTAATACAGTTCCTCATGCTGTGGCGACCCTTTAATACAGTTCCTCATGCTGTGGCGACCCTTTAATACAGTTCCTCATGCTGTGGCGACCCCCAACCATTCAATTATTTTCGTTGCTTCTTCATAACTTCAGTGAAATTGTGTTTTTTCGATGTTCTTAGGCGACTCCTGTGAAAGTGTCGCTCGACCCCAACAGGGGTCGCAACCCACAGGTGGAGAACTGCTGCTGTAGAGAATCAAACAGCTACAAATCCTGGAAACCCCTTTTGAACCGCATAACCACACAGCAGTTTTACTGGGGCATCACAAAACGGTGGGAGCTCGCGTAGTGTATCGGCTAGTCGCTCTCGCCTGCGGATCGGAAGGCCGTGGTCTCAGGTCCTAACCGAGTCGGACTTTGTTTTCCCAAAATAACCTTGGCCCCTGGTCGACCCAGCCATTAATGAATACCAGGTAAAGTCCTGGAAAATAAACGCGGCCGGTGAAAAGCTGACCACATCACCCACCAAGTACGGTCGTGCGTATTAGGCATATAGGGTTAGACCGATATATTTTAAGCCAATCGGCACTCCGTGGGTGATGTAGTCAACATCAAGCCGACCGCCCTTACTTCACAGGAAGTGATATATGGTGACCCTTTTAAGGTTGGGGCGACGAGGAAGCCAACGTCGTTTTTTGAAACCCCCCCCCTTCCCAAAAAAAAAAAAAAGTCCAGCTGGTTCAGGGCGTAAACCCACGACTTTCGAATCCACTAGCAACAGTCTAGCCGCTGCCCAACGGCAGATCCCATTATCAACATATAATCATGTGTAAGGAATTAAACGCCTCTTACCCGAATAACTCTTCCATTGATTCGGAATATAAGTTGGCTACAGATTATCACGTCTGGTTGCTCGTCAAGGTTTCTCCGGACTCCCTGATCTTAAATGTCCCTTATCGTGATGCTGTTGAAACTCAGGATTGAAACACGTTATTGAATGTTGAATGTTGTTGAATTAAGAATCGACATCACAACACTCGAGACACTCCCACAAGTGCTCAGTTCCTATCTTCAGCAGCAAGCGAAAAGTTCAAATTCTGATGGTAACCGTCTGATTGTATATCCGTCTCATCCTTTCCCTGAGTGTTGAGCGTCGGCCAGATCCCATGACAACTCCTCGCAGCACCGTTCTCCTCAGACATATCGAACACAATCATTGCCTAGCTCTTTCAATATCAGACAGTAACTACTTGAGCGCTTTCTGTTTCAGAGTCGATATACATCAGAACAGCAGTGGTTGGGTCTCACTCAGTAAACTAAATTGTAAAAATATGGAATAGGATTCGCTAAAGTCACCACTGAGGTAGAGAGATTAACAGAAAAGGGGGATAGAAACAGTTAGCTAATGTAAACCATGCATAGATTAATCAAGTAATGTATTGTGAGTTGCGTAACAGTGAAAGAGTTGATACTATTTACATTTATTAAATGTTGGTGTAATGTCTCTTTGTAGATGAAAACAACGAAATATATCTTAAATACTGTTACGAATTCCTCTTGCCCTGTGCATTTTTACACCAACACTGTCTCTAATGTCACGTGGTCACCATTTGTCTACCTAAGCCTTCCCCCATTGACCCCCCCCCCATCTGACCCCTCCCCCGTTACTGGTATTCTAAACTTCTGAGAGTTTAACCTGGGTTTAGTACAACAATTAGGCTGCTTATAATATACTTTTTCCCCCATGTTCAAATCATGTAAAAGTTATAGTAGTTTTATTCTTCTTGTTCAGCGACTTTCTACGAATGTTTATGTAGCTGTTTCAAGAACAAACAAAAATAATAACAATTAACAATAACTATACGACAACCTAACCAGTTATTCAAGGCACTGGTATTCCCCTGAATGTGCAATATTATTTTCTCAACTATTAAATTTTCAAATAGAACACAACAGATTTGTTTCGGTACCTTTATACTGAGCCAGTTTTTCTGCCAAGAATGACGACGGCCGATGGGAAAACTCCGGACCTCTAGTCATCAGAACTTCGTTGATGACGTCATATCCGTTGATAACAACAGCTAATCTAGTTCCCATGTATATCTTGAAGACATCGCCGTAAGTGCTTCTTAGTGACCGAAACGTCAACAGTGGATTGTTTGCAAGTTTGATCAGGTGTCCAAGTCCTTTATAGTTGAACAGGGACAAGTAATTAGCCATTGAGAAAGAATAGTCAGTTTGTCTTCAGTGCAATTATTATTTAAAAAGAAGAACTGTTGGGATAAGGTTACAAATAGTTTTTGAGAAAGGACAACCATTTTATGTTTAGAAAACTGGTTAATTGATGATCAGAAAAAAAAAAAAAGTAAAGTACATTTCCAAAACATTTGCCAATCGGGCATATGACAGACTCATATTTTATAGACCAATCGTCACTCAAGAGGTCATGTGATCAATATCCGACAGAGCAGTGGCAGAAAAGACTGCCAGTTTATCTTGATCATAATTAACATTTAAATTAACTACATGTTGGGGGGGGGGGCGGATTTTTTTTATAAATAATAAGTCAATGACAAAAGATAACCGCTGTGATCAAAGTAATAAGTAAAGTAAAGGATAATTGTTCACGCCCTGAGGCCCATTGGGCATTTATACACTCTATATACTATATTCAGGGCTAGACCTATATTTTAGAGATCAATCGACACTGGGTGGGTGATGTGGGGCGGCCGCTTTTACTTCTTAGGAATTTTGCTGGTACCCACTAAAGGCTAGGTCGATCTGAGAGGCAGGGTAATTTTTTTTTAGAAAAAAACGAACCCACGACTTTCTGATAAGCAGGAGGGCTTTTAAACGCTACACCACGGCGGCTTTACAGAGAAATAAGGCAAAGAAATTATGTCGGGCATAACCAGAGCTGATGGGAAAAGGGGATCACCAAAGGGCACTTCGATGGGAAGCACGCGAATTGAGGAAACAAAGACACCAAAAAAGAAACCCTAGGTGAAAGTCGATAACAGAGACCAAAGTCACTGGACTGGCACCATCAAGGTCATTAAAACAAACAATTGCGTAGAATAAAATGGAATGGAAGAACAGTCAGCGATGCCTGTGTGCCATAACGTCACAAACAGGATGATGATGATGGATGATGGATGACGATGATGACAGTCGTCTTCGCTTCAACAGTGAAATAAATTATTAACTTTGTGAAATTAAAAAAAAAAAAAAAAAGGAAATAATAAATGACTGTCATTGTTTCGTCAAGGAAATTAACAATTAAAACAAATTCATTCGAATTTTATACAAACAAAAATGGTAAAATGTCGTTTAAAAAATCACAAATGATACCTCTGTTCATTTTTTATTATTTTTTGCAATTGCTTTGTGTGTGTGTGTGTGTGTTGTTACACATCATCATCAAGTGCCTTGCCAGCATCTAATGCATCTCCATAGCTCTGGGTCTTTAGTGTTCTCGATCAGTTTCACTGATGATATTCCTCCATTATAAATCATCGTTAGAATTGTTCAAGAACACAAAGGCCGAGATATCTATATAATACACAATTTTTTTTTTAAAGAAGATTGACCCAGCTAAAATCGATACAAGGAAATGTTTTTATTTGCAATAAAATAATTAATAGCCAACCCTATTCTGTTAGTACAACCAGTGATTACTTACCTAATGTAACTAAGAATAATTAGCGAACTTGTGAAGCGGTTATTCACCTTGGTGTAACATTAAACGAACAGCGGTTTCTTTTACTTTACGGTGAATTTTACTGGCTGTTACAGTTAAACTGTAACCAGTCAGTGTTGCTAACAACTACACTGACATTAACACTGTTATGTTATATATACGTTCCTCTTGACATATATTTATTACGCAAAGACCACACAAAAAACAAAAACTTGGGTGAAATCAGATTAACGTCAACTCAGACTATACAAGAGTAAGAGGGGTGTAACTCTTATGACGTAAATATCAGAGCTGTCTGTTTGAGGCATTCCTGCCCTGAATAGAAGATAGCGCGCTGGAGAACCTGTTTTATTCTTTATTCTGTGTGTACACATAGGTAGTATTAACAAGTTCAATGCTGGAAAGCGAAATGGTTATATTGCTCTAATTTTTTCGGTGGTGTGTTATTTTGTACTGTCACTATCATGTTACATGGCAGGCAGCGTTGGTAATAAAGTTCATCTACAAAAAGGAAAGTTAATTTGTTTACCCAGGGACCGAAATGTTGAAAATGGGGATCGTGACGGACCAGAGACCCAAGCCACAGCATAGAGAGATCATTAATACAATACAGTTAGCAATGATACTCGGGCCCTTACTAAGCCTTAGGTTCGGCCCTCGGGCCGACAGTTGAATGGGCTTGATCTACAACATAAGACTGACTGTTACGGACTGTGGGTTCCAATCCAGACTCTAATGACTGATTCAGCAAATGCAGTAACACTACGATTACACGAATTGGAGCAACTAAGAAATCAAGAACTCGTGTTTAAACAACAAATGCATGCCATCCAAAGATAAATAGATGTATTGTAAATAATAAACACCCCCCCCCCCCACCCCATCGAAACCGAACAGTCGATTGATCAGTTTGTTCCCTCCGGGTTTATTACATTACCCTGTTCTGTCCTCATTCTTATTGTAACTCCGTATGTCGTATTGTGTTATTTTTAATCATCAGAAACAAACATCTGTTAGTGAGAGTAACAGCCCTTGTACCATAAAAAGTAACACATTTCTGGTAATCAATGGACTAAGGTTGAAATGCGCAAGGAGTTTGATTGTTTCCCCATTCCTAAATCGATCTGGACTCCCAAGCCAATTCATCCTTTAGTGGGTGCCTCGTGATACCTGGAATGTAAAGGTGGTCCATTTGATGTGGACCACATCACCTATTGGTGTGTGTGTATATATATATATATATATATATATATATATATATATATATATATATATATATATATATATATATATATATATATATATATATATATATATATATATACATATACATAAAGGTCTAGTACATATCCCCGACGGGACAAAGGTACTTCTTTGTGCAGAACGAGAGTTAAAATTCGAAATTAAGACTTCCTTGCGGAAAACATTTAAACTTACGTGTAGTTACACCCACAGCCCTAATAAATTAAAGTGGATTGTGAAATCTTAAAAGTCAACATTTGAAAGACACATGCAAGATTTTAAATGTTTGTTGCTTGCGTTTGCCGGAACATAAATCTTCACACTGAAACTCCATGCTTGACAGTGCATGTCAGCTATGCATGTGAAACTCGATAAATCTTGCAACTGAGAGCTATATCCCCACCCCAACCACAGCATGCATTGAGAGAATGTATATCTAGTTTTGTGTAGGATAAGCGCACATTCTTCTTCTGTCATCTGACTCGATATGTGTGTCGACACGATGACAAGCTGGCAGTATTTCTAGCCTGGGTCCTTAGCTGCTTTCTAACATCAGAATTACTTTATTTATAATGTGCAAATATTGGACAGCAATAATATCGTAAACTTTATTCGGTAATATAAACATTCATATTCAACACGTTAAATTCCTAAATTAAACATTAAATTATAATTTACCCACATAAAAACAACTTTCTGCTTACTTCCAGAGGATAATGCGATAACAGATTTGTGGAATCGGCTTATATAGCGATATTTTATTGTTGAAAATTGAGATTTTAACGTCTAAAGACGTACTTAACACGCCCACATTTCGTGTGCCATCCAACGTCAGCTTGAAAACATTTCATCAATGGCAACCCTTGACGGTCACCAAATCACGTACTCTTTTGTCTTTCAAGTGTTGTTTTTCGGTTTGCTGACCCGAGCACTTGAACTATCTTGTTTTTATAACATGACAGAAACCCCAGGGTTATGTTGGACAGAGACGATGACGATCCACTTACAGACGGCGATATGTCTATGATAGGCGAAGTTGCACTTCCTTAAAGAAAGACGGTTTCAAGAGGACGTGCTTGTGTCTTTGTAACTATAATGTTGAAGGACATTTGCTGCAGCCTCAGGTCAACACTAGGTCACATGTGATGTATTTGTAAGGCGTGTATGTGTAACAGATTTATCGTCAAGTAAAGGACCTTTTTCCACGCCTTTAGGCATACAGGGCATATAGGGCTAGACCTATGCTTTATATACCAATCGGCATCTGGTGGATGACGGGGTCAACATCACGCTGGCCGCCTTTACTTCCCGGACTGCACCTAGTACCCACTCAAGCCTGGGACGACCTGGCAGTTTTATAGGCCTGCCTGAATGAAGTTAGGAGTCCTTGTCGGGTTCACTTCTCTTCTTGAAGTACGATCTTTGAGATCAGTAGTGTGGCATATTTATCCAATCTTGATCCGAAGTCAGCCTGTACGATGCCATGCCCCACTAAGCCTTTCTAACGTTATTTTGCTCCCTTATGTAATTTAAAATCTCACTAGTCCATTGTCGAATTTTCCCCCCCCCCCCACCTCAACAATTAAATTGCCACATCCCCTCCACAAACAATCACCCCCCCCCCACCCCCCCCACCCTTCCCTCCCTTTTGAACAATAAAATAAGATACTGCAACGTGTACATCTGCATTCGCTGACGCCAGTTGTGAATTTGCTCTAACAATCAGCAACAGGAAGGCAAAGATTATCTATGGGGCAAGGTGCTGTTGTTAGACTAGGATGACACGGACCGTGCTACAAAAAAGGGAGAAAATCAGAAAGTGAATAGTCGTTAACGAAAGATACTGGAAACCTGTTTGTGGATTCTGAAAGCAACTCAAGACTCGTAGAAAAGGCAAGACTAGTAGCTAACCAGATGCAACGGATACCATCAGTAGGGGGACTCTACACTGGCTTTTGAGAAGGGCGACGGAACTAATGTGGGCTTGTCCTCAGTGCTGTGATATCGAATAGTTACTCAGATTATTATTTCAAGAACTGATTTTATTAATTATTGTGTTTACCACCACACCTACACATATTTTCTGTGTAGAGTACTTTTATATGTTTTATAATTTTAATATAACGTCGCCCCAATATAGGACACACTTTTCTTGTTATTCTAAAGCCCCCACCCCGGCTGGGTTCGGGACCCTAACATAAAAGAACGGTTCAACAGGGTTTCTGGGACTTGTTCCCGGGTGATTCTCATCTGAATCGTGGCGCTTTGTGTCACTGGG